TATTTGGATGGATGGAGGGTGGCTTGATGGATGGATGGGGGGTGGTTTGATGGATGGGGGGGGTAGTTTGATGGATGGGGGGATGGAGGGTGGCTTGATGGAGGATGGATGGATAGATATTAGAAATTCTGCTTTCCATTTGTGTTTTATAGAGAGGTGATGTATTAGAAGATTTGTGTTGCCTGTGACTCCATTTGGGATATTTCTAATACATTTTATCTCTGTGACACGAAGGAATAAACAGTCAGTTGGAACCTTATGGAATGTATGACCTTCCTTCACTCGCTCTCTCTCTCCCTATTAGAGACATATTCCGTCACTTTTTGTGCCTCGGTCTCCTCTCACCAGGACAGGAAGTGAAGGGTAACTCTCCGATAACCTTTTCCATAGACATGAGAGGTTTAGTTGCTGTTCTGGTTCAGTTGTATCTGTAAGTTTAAGCTTCAGCTATTGAGCTTTGCAGGCATGTTGTTTTCTCTCCCGAACAAAGCACCTAATGGGTACATGAGAAGCAGCCTGGAGCCCCTATCTCAGTTCCCTTTCAAGTGTCTGACTTTATTGGGTGTGATGACTTCTGTTAATGACACGTTTTACAAGGCAGACATTCGGCTTCCTGCCTGCGGGGCATGTCTCTCTTTCCAATACCTGACTACCTAACGTTTCTATTGTTTTGTTTATTAGATTCACTGAATTGCATCTTGCAGGTTAAAACTGCACATCAATCTTTCTCACATGTAACGCCAAATGCTACATAGGACTAATAGATTAACCTATCTTTTTTTTTTTTTAAATAAAAACAACCTCCGAACGCTTCTATATGACAGTCTGACATGTCCTAAATCCAGTTACTATGTAATGCACAAGTCTCAAAGGAAATCCTCCTCCATTGCCTTCCTAGATGAGCCAAATCTTCCATTTGTGCCTCACATGCTCCCCCTCCCAGGCACTGCAGCTCTCAGTGGGGGGAGCATTTACCTTAAAACCGTGCCCTTCTTTAGCACTGTTGGCTCCATCTTCAATCCTCAGCCCTGTGTCTGCCGCTGACACTTTCAGGTACTCAGAAGTCCTCTTTGGCCGTTGGTTGGCCACTGATGATGTAACTCCTGCACATGCACACAGGAGGTACATCCTCCTTGGCACCCGGCCCATTTACAGCATCTTTGAGATGAGTGTATACATGCTGTACAGTGTAGAAGAACATAAAGTGTCGGGTGAGGAGGCAGATTTTCTTTTTGTGGATCTCTCTTCTGCCAAAAATCTCCACCTCAGCAATTTTTTTTATTTCCCTTTTTTTTTTTGTATTTCCTAAATATGACTCAAGTGTACTTTTTAGGCCTCATTCACACTGGCGGGCATATACCTGCATATATGCGCATACTCGCGTATAGTGCCATATGCAAATAAATGGCCCCATACACATAGCTACGTATCGAGCCATGTATTTGCATAGCGTAAAAATGCGCAAAAAAACAGAATGGAACAGAGATGTGTGCGGGCAGCGTATACACGTGTTTGCGCGCATGTACAGTTCAACATTTCTATTACGCATGATACGCGCATGTACGTGTATATACGCAATATACAATTTTGCTCTTGCGTTGTGTGAATGGGGCCTTAAGGTCTCTTTTTCACACAGGCTGATCGGGGGCGGGGTGGTTGGGTCATCCATGCACAGATTCCCACCTGATCGAAGCGGTACGGATCAGATGACATCCATGTCTGTCCAGTTTTTCCTCCATCTTGTTGTGAAGGAAAAAACTAAAATTGCAGGACCCTATGTCGGTCTATTGGGGGTCGGGTGTTAACAGATGTGTCAATTTACATCAGATTACTCCGGATCCAGCACCATCGGGTCAGGCGAAACGGATCTGTGATAAGTTTGTTTTTCCGTATCTTGCCGAAGTCAGTGGTAACTGGGTGTAAACAGAGACCCGTCCTTACACCCAGTTGACCATAGACTAGCACTGGGCATCCGATCAGGTACGCTTTAAAAACTCACTGACAGACCTGATCGGGCCGCCTGTGTGAAGGGGACCTAAAGCTGCTTGAAGCTTGCTGTAAACACTGTTCCTATGCAAGCTAAAGCCCCTGTGACTAAGATCTAACTGCTAAAATGACCTGATGGTGTCACAGCGGACCACCAAACCTTCCAGGTCACTGCGGGTTTATTGCTCTGTGCTCCCTGTAAACCTTTCCTGAGGGCGAGAACCAGGGGATTGGTTTTGGGCTCCGCTGGTCTATTGTGTCCCCCTCACGCATACCATGTTTTCAGTGGTTACTGAAGAATACTCTGACTTTGCTGCCACCTTCAGTATTTTAGGTTTGTCAGTTGCCTATATTTTCATCTCTGACCTAGAATTTTTCCTGCTAATTAAAGAATTCTTTTGTTTTTCTTACAGATTGCAGCAAAAATTGGCGGTGAGGTCACCGGTGGAGTCAATAACACCCCAGAATTTAACTTTGGCGGACAAAAAAGGCAGCTTGAAGATGGAGGTAAGAATGTGTTTTATTCTGGAAACGGAAGAAAGGAGCGAACATAACATACAAGAAGAATGAAGTATTAGAATAGGGAACGTTAATTAATAAAATGTACTAAACAATGACTTTACTTTGTATCGGCATCAAATACCTTTTTTTTATTTGCTTTTCAGACCAACCAGAGTGTAAGAAAATGGCCACGCAGAGCGAACGTAAGTTTGACGTCTGCCGTTTCCATATTTATGTGTCCAGTGAAGATGCTGCTATGGCTGAGTTTGTTGGAAAGTCTCAGTAGTAGTAGACTGTTATAACACTTTACTGAAGATATTTGGAGTCCTGTTAGTAACGAGAATTTTTAGTTCAGACGTTTCATTTGTTTTTAAAAGACGGGGGGGGGGGGGCGGGGGCC